AACACCTCATCTTTTGTTGACTGCATTGTTGAACGTTTGCACTAGAATTGTGCATGCCTTGGTGCATATGATATAAGGTCACAGACACATACAATTGTCTGTTAGCTCTCTCTGAGAGCATGAAGAAGCATGGGATACACCTGACATTTCATACAAGCCTACTAAGGCCTTACATCCGCAGTGATGATGTACTCTTCCCAGGAAGAGATCTGGATACTGTTTACGGTAATGCACTGGTGATCCGACCCAAAAGGTGTTCGAAATATCAGTCCGATGGGTGGTGTGCGAGAACTTGCTAGGGAAAGAGGGGAGAGATGGGGAAAGTCGGTAGGAATGCCAGAGTCAGCCTGAAGCTGAGCTATCAGAAATCAGTTGGTAAATCAGAGCTCAGTGTCTGTCTAGTCAAGTCACAATAAGTCAAGTTGAATCTGCTAAGTCAAGTCAAATCTGCCTATCCAGTATGGGGATAATCAGATCTGTATAATGCTAATGGAAAAGGGGCAGAATAAGCTAGATACAGGAGTTTCTGGAAACTACTTATACTAGCTACTAAAAACTGCACTCTATACTAATCTGGTCTCTGGATACCTCTCCTAGGCAGGTGTTGGCATGCCAAATATTCATGTGGGTCAACCCCATTGCAAAGGAAACCTACAGTTGTCATGTCAAATATCCGGGTTGTCCTGTTGCATGGAAAACCTCACAGTCATCATGCCAACTAACTTGTTGTGGACCACCAAGTCCATGCAGGAAGGTACTCTTGCACCTTCCTCCAGTGTTGTCCATATGGACAATAATCCATCTGGCGCTTCGGCACCCCCTCCTGCAGTTGTCCCAATGGACAACACCCCTACCACCCTGGTTGTTCTCTCAAACAACCTCACACCTAGCAGTGCCATTCCCTCAAACAACACACATCTTACCGCTATTGTTCTGTCAAACGACCCCCCATCCTCACACACCGGATGGGGCAAACCTTCTGGCACCCTGCTTGTTGGCTGGGGTACCTTGTCTGGAAGGGACTCCTCTGCTAGCTGGGGCGACCCCGCCGACCCACCAGACTCAGCCCTCGTCCCTTGGGATGAGGATGAAGAAGAATTTGTCGACAACGATGAAGATCCTTACCTTGTCCCAGATGGGGTACCCCTCCACCCAAAGGAGGATTGTGGCACATCTTACAGATGTGATGCACATGGCTTACCAAGGCCCCAAATGCCCGAGTATGCCCGGGGATCTACTGATCCCTTCTACCATGATGCTTGCCCCCATGCCTCAGAGCCCTTTGCTCTCCTCATGGGAAATCCTCACGCCAACTTATGGTTGGCTCTTTGTTCTGCCAAGCAGCTTGCTGATGAGCTGCTCTTCAATTGCCTGCATTGCTGGACTGCAGAAGAGACTTGTGAGCATCTTGCACTGGACTGTGGAGACTGCTCTGATGAATTGTTCCACCTCTGTTGCTAACATCTCAATCAAGTTGAAGGACTTGAAGATCCTCTTTGGCAGAGCAAAGAAGATTTTGCACATTCCCTTGAGGAGAATGCAAGATTGTTGTCCACTTTGGACAACACTAGGCAGCTCTGCTCAACTGCCATGAAAATGATCTCCAATGCCCAGCAATTGGCATCGCAGGCCAGATCAGACACTGAGCATTTTTGTTGGGACTGCAACAACTGGCACTCCAAATATGACTACCTTCATGGTTGTCTCCACTCCTCTTTGGATTGCACAGATCCTCCTTGCGCACCCCCAACCACAGGGGCTGCATGTGCATCTTCATGACCATGGCCGGCGTCCTCCCATGAGATGCGTGATGACTATGACGTCCCTATGGACGACCCCATCATCAAGGAGCCTGCACCGGCTCCTCCCCAACCCTCTGCCATAGCTCTTGGCAAGCATCCCGCTGTGGACAAGCCCACCTCTGCACCTCCATGCAAAGTACCATCTATATCAATGGTAACGGCATCTTCTGGTGCCCCCACCCTGAGCAAGTCTTATAGCTCAGTTGCATCCAGCGCTGCTGGACTGCCTCTCACTCTTGTCCAGACAACTGCTGTGGCAACGTCTGGCTTCTCTGGAGCTAACGCTTGTTCCACATCGACTCAGCTTGGCACAAACAGTCCTTCCGCCATCACTGCATTGCACCGGCGATTCCCCCCTACAGGAGTCTTGGAGGTTGTGGCTGCACAACATGCAGCTACTCATGTGGCTCAGATGGATCATCCTGTCCCACGAGCCAACCCAATGAATCCCTGGCAGGGGACCATCACTGCTAAGCAATTGAACATGATCTGGAACATGGATCTTCCTCACTGGCAGGTCTTGATGGAGACTGCTGATGCTCACTGGGCCCACCCTCCTTGAATGGGTAACCTCTGGCCCGGTTCATGAAGATGGTGGAGCAGGAGGGAAAGGAGGTGAACCCTCACCTCAATAAGGGGCCTAGCATTAGGCACTCTATGGACGGGAGATACTACATCCCCAACCTTAACATGTGGACTTGGCTCCATGATAACTGTCCTCATGCGGACATTAAAGGCTGGCAAAAGGGCAATCCTGCTGCCTTTTATGAAATTGTGATGAATCTCTTTTGAAGTAAATTCAAATTTATGAAGTTCGTCAATGAGCATCAGCTTGGTCAATCTGCCATTCCTCACTGGTCTATGACCACTTGCCTTCACAAAGCCATCTCCCTCAATGTGGATGGCATACACATTTGGAGCCCTATTGGGGTTGCCAAAGAGTTCATTGCCAGTGGGCTCAAGGAATCAAAAATTGACATCCTGGTTGGTTACTTTGGTCATAGGTGACAGAGGGCAGAACTTGGTCACATGTACCACAACAACATTCTTGACAAGAATGGTGTGTGCACACTCAGTCTTGTAGACTGACATGGCAAGTCATTGTGGACGGAAGTCTTCCAGTCCGCAATAGTTCCCCCTCCTGTGGAGGGCCTTCCACCATTGGGTCTTGAGCCTGAAGGTTTGAAATGGTCTGACAACCATACTACTCCTGCTGCTGGTCCCTCTCATGTGGATGCAGCCATTGAGGATGATACCTTCCTCGATTATGGTGACAGTGACAGCTACAACTGTGCCTGTTAGTATGTATACCCCTTCCTCTTTGACAGGGGGGGGGTGTAAGGGTCCGTATATGACCCCATACTTACCTCTTTAGGTAGGATCGCCTCACAGAGGTGATCATGATTGTCCATTGGACTGACACATAGCAGGTGGCTGTAGGCCACCCTTTTTCTCTATGTAATGTATTACTACTAGATAGTAATACATTTGATCAGTGTATGTACTGGGGGTGCAAGGGCATAGTAAGCCCGTTCAGTCTTCCCTTTTGCCATTCCTGCCATGGTGTATGCCTTGACCTTGGAGGCACCCTCCTTGGCCTTGGTTGGAGCTGATAGGGTGAGAATCTTCCCTTTTGCCATTCCTGCCTTGACCTTGGAGGCACTGGCATTGACCTTGTTTTTAGCTGATACTGCAAGAGTCTTCCCTTTCTCCTTTCCTGTCATGGCCAAGTCAGCAATTTGTTTGCCACCAGACATAGCCTGGTGTTTGACTGTTCTGAGCACATTGGCAGCCTTTTCTTTCACATTTGGCCAGTCATGTGCATCAAGCTCAGCTTCAAGCATATCGATATGCCCAGTTACTGCCATTGACTTGGATCATCCTAGGCACTCTAAGAGCACCAAACTGGATAATCCCTGGGCATTCTGAGACTGTCAGCTTTGGGATAATCTTGTGAAGAGCTTACCTGTTTTTGAAGATAATCTCATCTATTGCACACATGGGGGCCACTGTCACAGCATTACATTCAGTTGAGTATGGGTTCATTGACAAAACTACAATGACATGGTAATGTGCATATGGATATATGACATACTAGGGTAACTATAGATTAATTAGAATAGCCAGTTCTTAGCTAGACATGATAATTAATGTACCATTAAATGTTTCCATCCCTAGTGTGCATCCCAAACCATTCAAACTAAATGCTCCACTTCTCTTTCCTCTTCTCATTCTCACACAGGAACTCTGCACAACTTTCTGAGCGACAGGAAGTTCAGCCATTTCTTTGTCTCTGCCATGCAGTTGAAGTCATTTGTGTTTTGGTGTTGCTCAATATGAATTGTGTTCCTGCCGAGAGCATTCTGAGAGTTGTCATACTGGGGAGGAGGGGGATATGTCAAATGGGAAGGAGGCCAAGTGGGAGGAGGAGGCAGGTAGTTGGGGCCATGGTAATTAGCAGTGTATCCATAACTGTAAGTACCTATCAACAGTGTTAGAGATGTTGCCCCATCTGCAGAAAACCAAGAGACACACCATGGCTCATCAAAGGACCACCTCTCAAAGCTCTAATCTGCTGCTCAATGTCTCTCTCCACTGCCCTAGCCTGCACCACACATTTGTAAGCTTGATTGATGCCATCTTGTACCTCACATTCCCTCAGGTAGTAGAATGGAGCAGTGAAGGTCAGATAGTCAGCTCAAACATGGTTAAGATGGTTGATGGCTTGAGATACAGACAATTTGGTGTGTTCCATGTTGATAGTTGCCATTCCCAGTTCCATTTCCAACTGGATCAATGCATGGTTGATTGGGGGAACGTGGATCTGAGGGATGACCAGTTGAGGGGCAGGCTGATGTTGATGGTGACATTCTGAGCAGGAGCAGGGTTGGTCATTTTTGGTGTGTTTTCCTGCTCCCCATTAGTTCACATTATACATAACCAAGTAATGACTTACCTTGGTTATCCACTGATGTTCTGCTGAGATGGACTTGGTGTGTGAGCAGCAGATTGGGATCCCATATTCAGGCACATCCATGGAACCAATATCCAGGGATGCTCACACCGCCACTCATCTACACAACATTAGCTTGTCCCTTACATGAATCACATGATGTGCCATGTCAACAAACCATGACTTACCTTCTTCAACTTTTGCCATCCTCATCTTTACTAGGATGCCTATCATCCCAAATGCCGGTGAAAAAAGCACAGCATGTAGCCCATCTCCCTGTCACATGTCCCATTTTGAACCATTCATAAGCCATTGTTCTCCTCAGCATCTCTCCTCTATCCCCGAACCTCATGGATCGATCCATGTGTCAAGTTGATGATGAGGGCGTCAAATGCACCGCTATACCAGGTTCACATGTAGGGCATGCCTTGCTGATCATTTGGTGATGTGAAGTTGTGTGTTGCACTCCCCTCAAAACCTTCTCTGCAATTATCATTCAATCAGTGATTCCTCAACATTGTCCAGCAAATTAGACTCACCAAGATGTGTAATACTACTTTTGCAATTCAGCATCATTCCATCCTTGCTGAACAGCTCCCGGAGCTCGACTGGCACCCTCTATGGTGTCAAGACACTTCCCAACCCTGGTTCCTTCCCCACCATCACTGAGTGTTATCCAAAAATGCCAGCCCACTGTGCTCACACTTATACCATGTACCATTCCCTTATCTGGCTTTCCTATGATACTGATGTTGTGGGAATTTGAGTTAATCCAGCATGTTGTGAGGCAGTAGCAATAACAGAGCAGAGGATGATGTGTCACAACAGAGATTGCTGCTTGGTTTCAATTTTGAATCCGCTTGACACTGCCCCACAATGCTTCCATCCTTTTATCAACTGATAATCAATTGACCCTAACTACATCATGGTATTTTGGTGCAAACTATGTACTAACCAGACCAATATTAATACCCAGCCTGGTGTCATTACATTCCTCCCTCCACCTGTAAATGTTATGAGAACACACAAGAACATATCCTTTCACCCCACTAGATGTCTGTCAAATCAATGACATCCACATCTGACCACGTTTCTATCCTCCTCTTTTTCCATGGTCCAACATCATTTCCCTCCTTGTGCTTGCAATGTTTACCATTCCTTGATGGTACAATGAAGCAATCTTGCTTCTTCTTCCTACCTGTGGAAGAAGGTCCTCTGCCTGCAGCAAATATTAGACTCGAACTCTTTCAATATGAAATCATGCTTCCCTGTTGATTTCTCTGTCCCCTCTCCACCTGTTCCATGCCTTTTGTTTGTTGCAACCTGGCACCCATATGTGCAACCCCTTTCTTCCCAGGATTCTGCACTGCCTGGAAGTCAGTTTGTCTTCAAACGTAGGTGCTACCCCTCACCTTCACACTTGCCATTCCTGGGGCCACAAACCACCGCCCCTGGTTGAGCCTGCTCTGAGATCATCACCATCCTCTCATATTCAACACCAAACTCTAAACTGCTGGATGAGCAGACCATGCTCTGCCCCACCTGAAGCAGCAAAATTGATCCATCTGAGAGGTCAAATACATCATTGGATGCGACATGATTCCATGCTCAGGCATTGGCCATATAATATTTGATGTTCTCTTCTTCCATGATAGCCAGTTCCCAGCAGAGATCCAAATGCTCAAATGCCCTGAAATTGCTCTTGCAAGGGACCCTCCACTCAATAGGGGGTAAGAATGGCTGTAGCTTTGTTAATATAATGGTCACAGTTGAGCCAAGACAAATGTCACCAAGGTCCAGAAAATTGTTTTAGCTCCTTCCTCTGCCTCCTCTTCAATATCAATCACAGAGGGCTGCCTCTCTCTTTTGACTGTCATCTTCTGATCTAATCCCTCTTTCTTGCAGGTGTGGCATTCTCTTTCCTGGTTCTTTCATCCCTTGAACAGCAATGACCATGGCAGTGACAAAGGAGGCAAGGTTGAGAAATGCATATGGCTGTTTGAAGACATTGAATGTGGGGAGGACAAGACAATGGAACAAAGTTTATCATGTCCTGAACGATTGCAGCCTGGGCAGCAATTGATGCATGCCAAGAAAGGACAGTGACAATTGCCCATCTTGCAACAAGCCAGATTCAAACAGTGAATTGCAAAGCCATGCACTGAGAACAACACTGTCATTGGATCTATATTGGGCATTGCCGCAGTATAGATGGGTGGGGCAGATGTCACACAACACCAAGCCATATCTGCCTGCCAATAGGACCAGTGGGAAACACCACTCTGTTTGCTGTCACACTGACTCACAATGCATTAGTCTTTCCCATCCTCCCCTTTAGGTATCACAGACTCACTGCCTGGAATGAAGGTCCTTTATTTTGTGCTGTTGATGATATCATAATCCAGGGGTGTATACCACTCCCGCAGACTCTGCACACCTCGTCTGATCAAGGGCTTCTGAATAGGATGGGGGCAACTGGTGTCATTTCAGATATTGTGCACTGTGCAATTTTCAGACGAGGGTTGCTTGAACTGCTGAGGATACTGGGTAAACATTGCTGGCCTCCTTATGTACATTCCCTTTTTTTTCTCCCTCACAGTTCCCTTGATCCTCAGATATTGCACTTGTAGTCCGATCAGCTGCCATTCCTTCTGCTGGGCTCAGGCACCCACTCACCAACCCATGCAATGTGTAAGACAGGTTTCCCAGGAGATATTCTCATTCCAAACTCTCACACTCCCTGGTACCTCACCGAGTCAATCAGCAACAAGCCACCATTGCTAATGTGACAAATTTCCCAGCTCTTCTTTGGTATACTCGTTTCTATGTAAAGTGAGTGACACTGGAATGTTCATCAATGAGAATTTTCAATTCCCTGTGGACGACGGCAATACCTGCAATAACTGAGATCATGCCCATTCAGGGGCTGTGTCTGATACATGGAGAGCAGATCCAAAGAACCACTTTTGATGCTTGGCTGTGCTTTGTGATCAAAACAGGCATGTGAGAAGGAAAGGTTTATTGCACCAGACAACAGGAATAACCCTGTCAACCCCTTGCCCTCCAATCAGATGAAGATCCTGGGTTGGCAGCCAGGTCTATAGCCTGGTAGGTGGGATGGTGTACATCAGGTTCAAAAATGATGTTCACAGAGAGCAATCATGCTGTCCTGGCAACTGGGATTGCCTGAAACATCTGGGCTACTCAAGGGAACAATTGTGCTTCAATTGGAAACTGATCAAGTGTTTAGATAGAGAGAAAAACTCTTCCATCCATACTTCACCAGTTTGCAAAAGATATGTGCCTGCTTAGCAGCATAAGCTGACCAGCCCTGGTTTTCCATGTGGGTGGACCAGGTGATTGCGGATGCTCCCCAGACCACACTGTAATACTTGAAGAAGCAGATGGCCCACTTCATCTCCACTTCCAAGAGTTCTACTTCCTCTTGGCCCCGTTGTATGGCTGCATAAGAATGCCACCACATAACTGAATCCACTGGTGGAACGTCTCAGTTTCACTGTAGTGAATGTGAGCTTAGACTGACCAGTGTCACTCCATTTGTCCTCTGCCTGTGCCAAAACAGGCCCCTGACCCAAACATAACCCATGTATCCACTATATGTGAGGTGATGTCTGCATAGTACCTGTCTTTGCATCAAAATGGTGAGTTTCAATATGAAAGTCTTCCAGTGAGTGGTATCTCGGATCATTGGCCAATAGCCCTAGGCTAATCATGGCATTCCTTGCACATCAATAGAAATTCACATGGTGTTTCACCAAACAATGCTGAATGTCCATGGTCTGTTATGCTCTGGTCTTCAGCCCCACTGCCAATGCATTGGTCCTGATCTTGTCTCTAAAAAGGTATTGCAACTTCATTGCTTCGATCATCTGGCCAATTGCATGTTCTGCCTGTGCCTTCCTCAATCTCATTTTGATGTGAGTGAAGTGTTCCAGGTTCATTGTGGCTCTTGCTTGTGAATCGAAGTTTGATGGCAGACTGATTAAGTCAAGCTCAGGTAGACTCTCTACAGAAGTCATCGATATATTTGCCAATAACATCAGCATTTGACATTGTTGTTGAATGCACCATGCATGAAGCTGGGGCAGTAGACTGGCCCAGAGCCAGTCTGCTTCTGTATTGTCTGTGTCATCCCCACCCATATGCTTCAATTCTTTCAGTGTTTGTTGGATAACCAGCCTAGGATAGTTCAAGACCCCAACAAGAAAGTCTAATGTAAATTCTGCTTACAGACGCTCCTCTAGTGAAATCCCAAGCTGGATGAACAAGACAGAGTCCCCCATCTCTGCCCTTCCTATTGCTGCAGCAATAGAATCCAAGGTTGTTTGCTCTTCATCATGCATCTGGTCAGCTGCATGTCTTTGAGACAGTACTGACATTCTTTTAGTGTTTGACACCATTGTAGACAGGTTAAACACATCTGCTTCATCTGGAAATTGGTAAACGCTAAAGAATGTCCCATTGTTTCTCTCGAAGTATTCTGGTTGCTTCTTCCATTGGTGTATATGATGACCAAATGCAATGCTAGGATTGTCAAAGTATTCCTTGCAGTGTTGCAAATGGATCCTCGCAGAGATCATCCTTTGACATAGGAATGGTACTGCTTGCAATCATTAGACACTAAGCAGACAAGTGAGTTTTCAATTACTCACTCATATCTTGCTGTTTCTTCCAATTCCAGTTGACAAAGTGTGCTTCCAAGCAGTCCAAATGATGCCCAGGATTCATTTCCTTGGTGCTGCCCCTAAGTTGGTTATGCTCTGCCCAAGTTCTCTCAACTCCCTCACCGTCCACCCCAGCAGCTCCCTGTTTGAACAAGAGAGAGAAGTGATAACAACACTGCTTGCGATGAGCATATTTGTGCATTTTGGGCACAATGAACGTGATATGATCCCAGAGTGGCACCAGGTGAGGAAAATGTGATTTCATCCTTTCTTTCCACTTGGGAGACCACATGCTTGCCAAGTCATATGACAGATATATGACTGGAAAGGCCTCGGCCCCTGCAATAGCCCCTGCAAATGCATAATCAATGTTCAAGAACCTTGTCCATGTCAGGATAGTATATGAGATGCATTGAGAAATGGGCACACCTTTCCCCAACCTGCAAATCCACCATTCCACCCGGTCTGTATAAGCTGTGGCATAAGCAACTCCAGGAGTACATGCCAGAAGAGCAGTAACTGATGTTCCCCTGGAATAGCATGGATGTTTTAAACCCACTGCAAGTTTGAGCCTAAATACTGGACTCAGCAAAATTCTCAACCAATCCATCCCAGTAGATCCACTTACCAACTTCTTGTCTTCATGGGTCTGGATGTAGTTGCTGAAATGCACCTGGTATGGGAAAAATCCTTGACCATGCAGCAGACCCACATCATTGGTGTCAACATTTTTCTTTGTTGCCAAAAGAGGGTGAAGTTCCCATCTCCACCAAGATACAGTGCAACAAGGTGTCTGTTACTGACTTAGATGCTTGCATCCAAAAGAGGGATTCAGATAGTATGCATGGTTTGTCTGGGTCAGCCTGCACCAATTCTTCCTCAGAGATATTAATACTGAGCTGTGGGCATGCTGGACATAGTGGACTGCAAATTTGACTAGCCACAAATGGAGGAAGATTGTTGTTGACATTGTGTGCTTCCCCACAGTGCCAGGATGCCTCAAGGTCCATTCATATCTGGCTTGCACGGAGCAGCTCTCCATAATGATCATTGGTGGAGGCCAGGATGATGTTGCTAGTTTGCCTTACAAGTTTTGCATAGTAGTCATATGTGGACTTCTTCAAGCAGAGCCTGTGTAAGTGGAAATCCTTCATGATGGTAAAGCTGAAAGCTGTCTTTGGGTTGTCAAATGTCGCAGGGAAAAGGTTTGCACAAAGTAGCTGAATGTGGTGATTTGGTCCTCTGGGGCATTGACAGAATCCTGGTAAAATGTTGTGGATGCCATTGGCATGGATCACCACAAATGGTGTGGAGGGTGGCCTCAACGATGCAGGACAGGCTGTGCTGTTGTGCCTTAGACAAATGAGGAGGCCCAAGTCATGTAATGACTGATGAGCATAGAATTTGCCTTGCCATACTTCTGTCCAATGAAATGGATTGTGCACATGAGAAGTTACTTGACATGAACCCCACAGAGGGGGGGCTTGAAAACAGTCCCTGCATCTTGTCATGAGTTGCATGGGTTGACCACACCATGCGCAAGCAGCATTTGTTGTTCCTGCATAGTTCCAAACCAGTTCTTCAGTAATGATTGATTGTCTTGCTTTGAACTTTGATATAAAGTCAGAATACACCGGTACACATTGTTAGGAAGACTGACAAAGTGCTACAGACTTTTTACCTCTGTTTCACCCACTTTAACTGGCTCCTCCTGGATCTTAGCTTCGATGAGAGGAGGTGCAGGATGCTCCAACTCTAAGAATGTGCCAATGGGCACATTCTCAGAGTTCCCAGATTGTGGTTACAAGGAGAAGCAGGATTGTTGATGATAAGAATATTGGTATTCTTGCACTTCCTTGGACTCATGTTAGTCACTTATGTTCTGCACTGCAGGCAACAAGGATGAGAACCAATGTAGAGGTATCCTTCCTCCGAGAGTGCCTTCCTATCAATATCCTGCCATTTCTTGACACTGATTGAGTGAGATACTGGCACCAAAAAAGGCAGTCAGCAGGACACCACGTGAAAAGCCCAACACTTTTCCTGCCACTTAGGACCCTTGGTTCTCTCCATGTTCCTCCTACACAGCTGCTGTAATCATCAGTTACATGAATGCAAAGGGGCTGACACTTGTTTTAACCTCACACATTTTAATATTGTCAGTGTTCATACTCTTTCCTATGTGACTCCCAGGTCCCAATGCATCTTCCTTGTGATCCACGCACCAATAGCTCTATAAAATGCCCAGATTTCCTCTGCAGACTTGGACGACAATCACTGCCTGGTTGACACATGGTGCACTTCAAGGATGAGCACAGGCGATGGCTTTTGGAACATTTGCCTGCTTTTGGAGCTCATGCCAATAAACATCAAGGCAAAAAAATTGCCCACAGTATTGCAACTACATTCCAGGCTGATTTCCCCGATTATGTCCTGAAGAGAGAGGTCAATTCCGTTGACCAGGTATGTGTACTCTGTCTCTCATTAACTGATATGCACATTGATGTCATTGCTTCAAGCAAAACTACATCTTCTTGAAGAATAATTGAGCACACACTGCTGATCCCCTACAGAAGTTGCCTGTCCCTCATGCAAGACACACACCAGTTGTCAACCAAGCATGTGAACTAATGGCAACTGACATTCCCAACTTCTCTGATCAACTCACCAAACACGCAGTGAATGCCAGTAAAACTGTATTCCAAGCACAACCTGAGTTCTTGAAGATGTATTGGGAGAACAAACTGTCAGAAGAGTGACGCAGAGAATATCAGGATTGCACAGAACACCAGAGGGAACAGATGAAACAGTCAAACACAGTTGTTCAGGATACTTGAGGGTATGTTGACCTTATCACTCAATAACCTTGATTTAATTCATGAGCTAGGGCACTGGACACAATATTCAATACCATTGCCACCATTCAAAAAGCACTGCATGCATGCACTGGGTGGGTCTCCTTTACTTTAGCTGGAGGGGTTGACATGAGTGGGGCAAGAATGGCAACACTGTGAGTAGCCATAGCACACAAGCATTCAATGGATGAACACTCTGCAGTGTCAATACTGGCCAGACCCTAATGGACTTTGCTTCTCTGACTTCCATTTGCGATTCAATACTGATATTCATCATCCATGGGTGGACTTTGTGAAAACCACTGATTCGTGTCTTGTCTCAAACACACTGTTACTGTACTCATTCCTGATTTTCTAGTTCCATACTCTCCACATGATGCCACTGCCAGAGTCTTGCCCACTCTTCAGCAAAATACAAACAATTGCCCCATTCTTCTGCCACTGGATCCCACTTGGAATTGTTTGGAGATATCAGTTGTCTTATGCACCTTTTTGCAACACCTGCATGGTACTTGTTCATCCCTGTGCCCAGCAGATCCTGACATGTTGCATGTTAGAACACAAGATTGGGCAGTTGGAAATAGAATGGCCAATGGCCAGAGTCAAGCCTGGATGTCTCCTGTCCACAGTTTCCTTATTGGACCCTGAAGAAATGTCCTTTGTGGAGCTGCTCACCATGTACAAATTTGTTCACCAGCAACAAATTTGGCATGGCAAAGGGTTTAGCTTTTTTGAAAGCAGGGATCAATCACAGGCAAATCCTCAAACATTGTTCACCACTGTTCAGCTCACATTGACGGCTGTTCCCCCTGCCCCCATGGCCCTCGTTTCCAGGCCTGTAGAAGACCTGATCACACCAATAGCCCTGCCACAGTCATCAAATGCTCCAGTGTTCGAGTCTTTTGATCAGGATTTAGATCACTATTCCCTGGCTCCTGAGCCTCTAACTCCCCCCTGTCCTAGTTCTGATGATGAGTGCACTGGTCTACACTGTCAGAACAAGCCTGTTGGTGAGTGTATGCATCTCTCAAATGTATAATGTAGGTGTGCTCATTCAATTATCAATGCAGAAACGCAGATACTCTCTGTTGGGGCACAGGAGAGCACGTGTTCCCTTTGGAAAGGCTCCAAGAAGCAAAAAGCTTCATGCAAGGGGTCCTCTCAATGCTCAGGAAAACCAGCAAGAGGTTGAGGCAGGTATGATAATCTGAGCATCCCTTGTGCTCATGTTGATCATCCTGCACCTCAGGCCTCCCAAACAATCTATTTCGCAGCATGGTCCATACAAACTGAAGTAAATACAATGTGATAACCCATTACCATTACATGAGCTGACATGTGCAGGAGTCCATATCAAAGGCAGTTGCCCAATGCAGCATCAGTGGGACAGGGGTAGTGTACTGACAGGAGATGATGTGGGCATAACAAAAGAGACACACTTGGCTTGTCACATACACTAGCTATAACATCCACATTTAACCTTGTTCTTGGAACACCCATCTTCATAATCATTCCTGTAATGCAAATCTCCAAGCACATGGCATGCATGGAGATTTGCCCCCAACATGTGTCTGTTGCCCTTGATGTTTGGTGTCAACTGATGAAGTTCATATGGCACTTGTCAGCTACCATCAGGCACACCTTCATTGAGATCCTCCTCCTCCCGCAAAATCCAGTCACCAGTGTCTGACTGTTTGTCTTTGCCATGTTGAAACTGATTGATTGCTCTGCACATGTCAGTTTGACTGCCACAATCATGTCATTGATCTTCAGCAGTTTGGTAGGTAGGCAAAAAGGATCATCATCATCATCAACATACTCGTAGTGTCTGACAATCTCTTACCAAGGCTGCCACAATGGGGTATCCAGAATGGCCAACTTGCAAGATACCATAAAATCCACAGTATATAGTTTGGCAATGTCTGACACAAGGAGCGTCACCCCATTTGTACACTGCACAATTGGGGGATTGCTCAGTTCAGCCTGATCTCAACTGATATTAGATGGATACTATCTGGTCCCATCAAAATTCTTACCTGGGGCCAAATCTTTGAAGCAAAGTGTCCTGTCCCACATTCCAATGTTGATGGCCCACTGTGACATGATGGTCCATCAGTATGGGTGGTCATGACAACCCAGTAGGGGGATGTACTGAGTGATCCCGACGAGCATATGCTTCTGCTGCTTCAGTATTTTTGGAAGATGCCACCACTGACAATGCCTGCCCAAATTGATGTCTGTTCAAGCATTAAAACACATTCCTGTCTAGTACAAAGGCACAAGCACCCAGCCAGAAATTGAAATCGTTGTGCAAGAGAGCATTGCTGGCCTTCAGCAGAATATAATGGGGAGGGCAATCTGGCCAAGACTGTCAGGTTGGTGAGTGGGGGTTGATGGGAATTTTTTTGGCCACAGTAAAGTGATAGACACTGTAACTGGGGAGAGGAATGTGTGAACTGTTGGCCATTTGGAACGTTCTTGTTTCCAGGATGTTTGATAGGTCCCAAGGTGTGGGAGGTGGTCCATCATTAGTGAGTTGTACAGGGGAGGGGTTGAGCAACTGTGACTTATTGTGTGTGTCTCCCAATGAAGGAGGACGCTCAGGACAAGTGGATCCAGGCTCAAGCATGTGGAGACAATCACATATGCAGCTAGACTTGTGTCAGGATGGTACAAAACAAGTGGCCCCTATGATATACAGACTCTTAGACACCTCCCTGAGAAACAATACTATAACATGGTAAATTTACATCCACATATGGTGATATAGAAGAAGCACATGCTTCCAAGTCATCAGCCCCACTCAGGAAACTATTGACCATCACTTCCAAACAATTTTGGAACTGGCGGTGCAGTATGCAGCCAGTATGCCCAAATCCATGGGCATGTGAGGACTCAGGAGAGTCAGGGCCTATAGATCTGCCTTGACATGGGGATGAAACAGATTGCTTTTGTCCACCATTTGGACAAAGGGTTCCTCCAAGATGCAGTGGACACACAAGCGCATGCTGTTGACTTGGGCCCAACTGAGAGCATTTAATGCTGCCAGGGCCAGGCATTGGTGCAAAGGGGGGATGCTCATGCCAATAGATTGCTCTCTGGACATCTGGGATTGGCAGTGGTTGCAGAAGACAGGCAGATGCCTTAGATCTCAAAGTAAAGGACATTGTGCACCAGAGAGCATTGCAGGATAGATACGAGGCAGATGCTGGTCAGGGTGCCATTGTCACATAAGCACTGCCATCACTGTTCCAGCCTTTTCACAAGTATGACTGTGCCTGATCACATCCATATATGTGCAGTTGGTGGACAATAATGATAACATGGGAATTGTACTAATTGTGAAAGATACAGTGTATGATCATGTAGGTATTGTAATACAAATGCCCATGCAATAAGTGCCTACTTCTTCTGCCCATTGCTCATATTCTCCATGCTTGCTGCCTTAACATGCATGTCCTCATCAGCAAAAGTATTAATCTGGTGGTGCACCCCATGGAGGGTGATGTCATCTGGCTGGGATAGGATAACTCCCACTTTGGGCTCCAGTGCCAATGACTTGGAAGATGCAAGTTCACTTGAGGATTGGGAGCAACCATTGAGAGAAGGGGTGAGTGGAATGCCAATAGACACCTTTGACTGCTACAGATCAACATGAGCAGCTTGAGGGGCAGAGCAATAATGTGCTAATGTCAGGGCCTTCAAGAAGATTGCCACATTCCATGTGAGCAATAGATGCTGAAAGCGCCTCATCTTAGTCCTCCATAACGTCCAGAGGCACAGGAATACTCCAAATGGGACTGGCTGAACCTATGAAGCTGATTGATCTAATGATAACCATGCTACTCTCAATGAGGTGAGTGCAGGCTGCAAAGGAAGACCAGCACATGATATGCTTACCATATTCCCAAAACTTTGCAGTGAACATGTTTGCTGATCTTGATAATAGATAGTGGCGCAATTTTCTTCTTGGAGATGAGATTGTTCAAGTTGGTGGTCAGCATGATGGGAATGCTAGCAAATCCATCACTGATCTCCATCCTATTGTGTGATGAGAGATAGCCATTTTGAGTTGAGATGAGCGAACATACAAATACTGCTGGGAACTGAAACCAAGGTCATTCTCATCTCAAATACTGAGAACTTGCACAAAATGAGTGGGGATAGGTCAATTTGCTAATAGGGCTTCACATGTACCTCTCTCTTGAGGGAGACATACCTGGTAGTATTCAGGTAAGTCATGTTGATTTGCATCTGGGTCACGGTGCTTTCCTTACATATACAACCCCCTTGGTCATGTGGTCTGGGTACAGGCTTTTGGCAATAGAGACTAATGCTTACTACAAAGATGTGGCTATCTGTTTTCAATACATATTACATGGAGTGTTTCATGTCAACATCATAGTGACCATTTGCTCTGGACTGCATTTATTGATTAGTGACAGAGGATGTGGTAATGATCCCAGATGCTTGCATCGAGTAAACATGTCATGGGATATGGACTATAGGTCAACACAAGGTCAGCTGTGGAATATCAGAACAAATGCTAAAGGTGCATGCTATCATTAGGAGGCCTTGGAGGTAGACTCTGTACAGGAGGAACAATCTGTGCACTAGTGGACATCAGTATGGGATGGCAGGTCAAGAGGATTGGCAGATTACCTCATACATGCACATCAGGATAGGATAACAACTCTCCATCTCATAAACGAGGGCAGCTGCGATTTTCTGGATATCAGAAGCTGACATGTGTTGGAGGGAATGACTTGTAGTGTCTTGCTCAGTTTGATACCTTGATGCAGGATTGGGACATCAGAAGCTGAATGCACAAAGCTGCACAGATGGCCAAACCCAAGGACAGCATGTTTTGACATTGTAGCTTGGCTGTGACTTGGTTGATCATTTGAATGAAGAGTATGAGTTTCATTTGCCGAAGGCTGTCAATCCATCAGTGATGGAACAAGATTGTGGCTGCCATGGGGGTGAGGATGGCATTGAGAACCTATCTGGATAAAATACAGACCTGGGTCCATTGCCAATTGCAGGAACTGATGTGCAGGGTGTAACATCATAACTGTCACCAGAAGGGAGCAAGTTGAACATGATGTAGAGGTGCTGAGCAGAGGAGAGTTGGGCTGTGGGAGTGGCTGCCTGACAATGGCACTCCCTGAACCTTTGAGGCCAAGTGAGATTTGGTTGATAGTGCTTTGGGTTGTCACCTCAAGAGATGCAGCTTCTTTGGGGGGTCAGAGGTCCATGGCAACGTCAGAGAGTGCAATGGGGGGGTGAGCAGTGATCCAAAGCGACTTGAGCTCACCATCAATGGCCTGCCAGGAAGGGCCTGACAATGCAGAAGCTTTATTTGAGTAAGGAAGAAGTGTTAGATGTTGAGATATCAAATTTGAAAATGAGAATGTCATTAATGTTTATGTGTACATTCCTTGAATGTGATACTGAGAGGAAAGACATTGGGAAGGAAAGATTGTACCATCAACAATACCTCTGGAGCTAGCCTGTGCATGCTTTGTAAACCCATTGTTATGAAACAATGTTCCTCCAATCAACTCTATGAAATGATCCCCTATTGCAGATACTTGTGAAAAGGCGGAGGTTAGGGAGGACTTGTTAAATAATGTCTTTGTGGATCAGATTGGAATACCCTGTGACAGCAGTGTCAAGAGTCAACCATATCACAATATCAGTGCCTTCCTCATAAAAGTACACATGAAATGCCTCTGGTAAGTTGTCCAAGACATTGGGTAGGAAATACTGCACAGGAAGCCATCTCCCTGCATAAATTTCAAGCCAATTTGTCATTGAATCATGTTCTGACAGCTGGCTGGGATGCCAACTGTGGGTGGAGGGGCTTTGAGGGAAGTCAATGGACTGATCATGGACATTTGCCATGTCTTTGATTGGGTGAGGCCAATTGGAAGGAGGCAAGGGAGGATCATGTAAGAGTCTGGGGTGAGAACCCATGAGCGAATGCTCTGTTATTGTGGTTTGGGGAGTTGATGAGCTGGCGGATCTGAGGGTATTGGGAACAGAAAAGTTACAGAGAATGCCACCTATGACACACATGATCTCCTGAGATGGCAGAGCATCTTGGGTGGTAGGTACACTTTCAGCAATAGAAACTGGAGGAGACAGCATGATGGCAGCAAGTTGCATGTCTCCTGGCTGAATGGCCACTGGTGCAATGTTGGGATGCAGAGAAGATTGCATTGATGTTAAGCCACATTGAAAGGAAGCAATGACATTGACCATGCCATCTGGAAGAGTGATGTTGAAAGGCATGTCTAGGTGAGGCAGGAGGCCTGTTTGGTGGTATCATTGCTGCAACCCTATGATTAGTGAAGGGAGATGAATGAAATAGGCTGGGCTCACATAGGATCTCATAAATTGATAAACTAAGTTGTGCCTGACATGCACTGCATCCAAAGGCATCTGAGCACAGGCCTGACAGTTCAATTCTGTAATGATGATTGCAAATAAAATGTAGTGGAGACCATCTGCCGGTACCACATGCCAATCATCAATAACATCCATGGTGTCCTCCTCAGGAGGTTGAAAAAGGGCAAGACAAGCTGATTAGAGTGTTCATCAGCTATCTTTGCTAAATAAAATGTTTTTACACAGTGCAGCATGGACTCCCACTAGTCGCATCCATCTCCAGATCTGGTGAAACCCATGTCCCCATGATTGGACTTGTATGTGAGGAGGCGTTTCACTAAGCTGAGCAGAGAAGGTATTGGTTTTGAGGGATTGTAGGTGGCAAACCTGGCTATTCTGCATGGCAAGTGTTTGGGGGTCAGCCATGTTTCAAGTGTTATGACCACACACTCAGTTGAATGTTTGTGTTGTCTTTAACCCAGACATCGAGTGTGCCTGGTGCTATCCACACTGACACAATGCCTTTGCAGACTGTGTTGCAATGTGGCGAGAGACAATTTCTAGCATCGAGAAGCCTCCAAATGAGATATATCAGTGTTGCATCAGTGAAGAACCGGAGATTAGCAGATAGAAGATGTACAATGCTCTATTAATATTATATATATATATACATGTACAGAAGGAGTCCTTGTGTTTGTGTGATGTGGTAGGGTCCACCAACATACACAGACTGCCAGCAGTTTCTTTGACCTTGACCACATCGAGCTACCTGAGACTTAAACTGGTTGCCAGGACAGAAATCATTCTACCTCAGACTTAAACTGGTCACCAGGAGAGAAATCATCTGCTGATACTATCATGAGCACCACAGTGAGGGGTTCTTACTGATCCATCTAATGGTGCTAATAACTCAGGATTTACTGAGCAACATGGACCAGAGGAGAATTGATGAAGTGGTGGACCATGTCAAGAAGTACTTAGAGATGTCCGGTGCATGGAGGGGGTACCAACATATGCTGCACTGACATTGAGCATGCATCAGAGGAACAATTGCCCTCCCTGTATCAAGCAATATTGCCAGATCCTTGCCAAAAGATTGTTCTCAGTCGGACCCTCCATGCTGTGAGGCAGCATGAAACGTGGACAATGATGTTGTGCAACATATCTAACACTCCTCTGGGAAACATGGACAATATCTGGCACACACATGAGCTGGATGTGCTGCAAATGTTGCAGGTCAACTCTTCAACCTGGGTTGCACCTAAGACTGACAGGTGTGCTCCCAGGAGTGCGGAATCACCAGCAATCGTCTCTTGGCTTAGGTAGTCCAGGAGTTGGAGAGCAATTCAGACGCTGGTGGAGATTTCAGGATGGGAGTGTGAGGGAATGATGTTGGCATGACTGGGAATGGTGTTGCGGATTTGGCAACACTTGGATCGTGCCTGGTGAAGGCAGTCTCCATTTGGAGCCGAAGTTTTGTGTATGTAGGTAGGGGAAGAAGGAATGGACGGGCATGTGACCTGCGTCAAATCTAAAAGGAGTGAGAGTAAACATGCATTTGCTTGATTTCACACGACATTACACAGATGATGCAACCCTGGAATAAAATTGCTTAATACTAGTACAGCGTAGTATTCTGGATCTGGCAGTAACGTGCAGAGAATGGTTATTTGTATTGGAGTGGGTAATATGAGGTGTCATGAGCTACAATACAGTGTTTGTTAAGATAGAACCGTAGGCGATCATGTGTCTGAGTGCACATCAGGACTGAGCCCATCCTGATGTTCCAGTGCTTCATGTAGACGTTTGTTCTCCTCCTTCAACGCATCCATCTGACGTCTGAGAATAATGATGAGGTGCATTTTGCAAATTGATTCTTCTTCGAAAGCCTTGGCTTTATTGCGCCAAAACAAGGAGTCGGTGGACTGAGCATCAGCATCGAGCGCGAAATCGACAGGGCTAACCTCGACTTTAATCTACAAAATCAGAAGTTAGCATCGTGGTTACATGAGCTCATAAACCACACACCTCGTCGTCCATAGTCAAATCCACAACCTTCACCCTCTTTGCATTGTGGAGCGTTTCTGCAGATCGAGTCGGTGAACAGGAAGACGGTAGCGGGCTATAGGTACGCATACACCTTGGACATGTCGTTTTGTTCTCAAAAGAGTTTCTAGATCAATTACGGTCACCAGAGGAGTACCTGTTGGCACGCCCGGAGACATCTGCGGATCTCCAACAGAGATCAGCCTTCGGGTAGGAGCGATCGTTCCTACCGATCCGGTAGTTGGCACAACGGCCCCCAGCCGCGCCCGTACTGCGAGTCGCACGAGTTTTAGACGTTCGAGCCCGTGGAAGAGTCAGTGCGCTACTCCTCTTGTGCCCAAGGATCGGGCCGATGGCGGAGATCTTCGTTCGAACGGCGGATCGAAACAGCAACCCTCCGCGTCCCAACCAGGAGGGGAAGGAAGAAGCGTGACGACCAAGTCCATCACCGCGTCGAAGGCTGTCGCCAATGGTGGCCAGCCACAAGGCAGGCAAGCCTACGGCGGGCTGAACAAAAACAGCAAAGTAATCAGCATGCATCCTAATGCGAAGGTGTCTGTCCCAAACGCGAGCTCGAACATACAGGCTTCGACTTCATCCGAGTGCCAACCGAAGTCTTCATCCGCCACGACGGGGTCGTCCGCAGCCAACGGGCAATTGCCTGCTTCTGCGAATGCCGTCTCAACTGTCAAGACGACCCAACATTTCAACTTGTCCAACTTCATCACCGCTGCAGCCTTGGAACACGTGGAGCCCACTCGTATTGCATTCTCAGAGCTGAACGCAGGCCTACGCTTTGATTGGACGACATATGGACGCATATACGAGATCAGCGGGCCCCATCGCTAGAAAAACGAGACGAGGGAAGGCTTTGTTCTAACTTTGAAGATTGTGGATAAGGATGGGGTATGTCTATAACGTCAATGACTTGATGAGCTACGCTAACATTATGCAGAATAAGATGCTCGTCGGCTCGTTTGACCCCGTCGCGATTGAACGCGTAATGGCCGAGGCTGTTGTGGGAAAGGTGAGAGGTGATCTGATATTGCGGGGCGGGATGTTACTCACGTAGCGTGCATCAGGTGATGGAAACTAAGCAACGTGCGAGTCTGTCCAGTGAAGGAAGAATTTTTCCAGCCGGACATCTTGCCTTTGCAAATGATGTTGAAGTACAATTCCACTTTCTCCTTCCCAAATTCTGTACGTCCAAGTGGCTCGAAAGGGGGACATTTCACTGACTGGTTCTTAGGACTTCGAGATACCAGCAATGCCCATGCAATTGACAGGCATTCACCTGCTCCGTGGCCTGGAGTTCAAGTCCCGCGTGAACGTTCTGGGTGTGGTTCTGCATGTAGGGCAGGTGGCTTCCTTTTCCAAGAAAAAGCGTGTCGCTGGTGAAGAAGCCGAAGGTGATGAAGGAGATGATACGGCGGAACGCCGCCGCCTAGAAGTGCAGCTAGTGGACAGATCGCTCTTCGTTGTCCGTTTGACTCTGTGGGATCAAAAAGCAGACGACTTCAAGGCCAAGCGCGGGGACGTTTTGTTGCTGAAAAAAGTTGTTGTGGTGAATCATGGTGGTGTAAGCTTGAACGCTTACAAGTTCACCAAACTGGATTTCGAACCCAATATTAGTGGGGTGACCGAGTTGAAGGACTGGTAAGTCAAGGTACTACACGCGAATTATTATTGACGATGCTCCAGGTACAGCGCATTGCCGGAAGATCCTGGGTTGAAACACGTGTCTTCTGGTTACAGTGCTTCTGCTGGCCTACGGGACGGCATTGTTCCGCGATCATCACCGTTATGTATCAAGGACGTGCTGGAGTCCAACCTCGGTCATGGTGCGAGAGTTGATACGTTCCACTTGGAAGAAGCGATTACCGGTTTTGACTGTCAAACTCTCTACGAAAGATGCCGGCACCCAGACTGCAACAGGAGCCTGGAAAATCGTGAGCATGCTTGTGACATCGCCAGTCATGCAGTTCAGTCGGAGGACGACGGTGAAAAGCGTTGGTGGTGAGTAGTGAAGCAAGATGGTTGCCAGACGGTCTACTTAATCTTACAAAGTTATAAGCTGGTGATGACGGTAGGGACGAAGGCCAAGGAAATGCTCAAAATTATGGCCTTCTCGCCTGTGGCGAACGAAATTCTGAATGAAGCTCCGGAGGAATTGGTGAAAATGAGAGTAGGTGTCTTCCACAAAAGTCCCAAGACGTAGCTGAAGCAACATAGGACAATAACGAAGGCGGGTATGAGGCACTATTATCCTCCCAGCTTGGGACAATCTACAAATTCACTGTTCAAGCTCGCACTCGGCGCTGGAAGGTACCGTTCATCCTGTGAGAGCTGAAACGCGGCACTAATATTGAATAGAATTTTGACACCGGGAAGTTTTATACGGAACTGCAGTACCACGTCGTCGCCGCTCACCTGAAAGAGGAAGACGAAGAAGAACAGCCCGTGGAAGAGGTGGAGGATGAGGGGGACGGGGACGGGGAGGAGGAGAATGTGGGGGCGAAATGGTCCTATGAGTTCTGAGAAGATTGTCTGCCCATTAGTCTGCTACGATAGATTACGCTTATGATTGTACAACTATGCAAACGTTACACCTGCCACCCATACTACGGACACCTATACCGGATATCCTGAGATTATCCGGCGGATTATCTCACGGAACGCTCGAGATTATCCCGAAGCGACCGTATGCAGAGCGCCCAGGGATTATCCAGTTTGGCGCTCTTAGAGCGTCTAGGATGATCCAAATCGACTGAGTCGGCTGATACGCCAAGGGATCGGAGCGGCAAATACGTTCCATGCGGCATGGGCAAGAATAGCCACGTGGAGAAAGGACCGCATTATTGCGATTGGGAAAGTGAGGTAGGGATCGTAAGAAGTCGTAAGGATTGCAGAGGAGTTTAGTTAGTGTGTAATGGGACTGGTATATGCATGAACATTGTATAACGGTGGCAATGGAACGACGTACTGGCCAGCACCCAATAAGAGCTCGATATTAGGGAAGGAATCAAGACAAGGCTGCGCGAGAGGTCAGTCTTCCAAAGCCTGAGAGGGGAAAGTGACCACTTACTGTCCGGCACCTTAAACAAGGAGATACGAGAGTGGTGTGTGGGTGCCATCGATTGTAGACAGACGGTTTTATACTCCCGCGGGGAAAAAAGCTTGGCCCTTGCCTTTGATTTCCTTCCCATGTTTCATTTATTTTATGGGGCGACACCATTCCTCTCTTCCGGCACCGAGGAGATAACTTCCTGCCCGTGTTTCATGTTTGATTTTATGACACTATTCCTCTCCGTTTTCCTTTGCCTTGTCAATTGAACGAGGCATCGAAGGTTCCAGAATATCGACCACTGGTGGTTGTGAATGTGCGGGGAAATGGTCCTCCTGGCGACATGCATTGCCATCGACTCCACAGCGCGGGCAAAAGTCTGGGCAAGAGAGCACATGAGCGCATCAGGGCGGACAAGGTTGCTAATTCGCATTCGGCCTCATTATTTGACTAAGCCCGAGCTGGGGGTATGCAGAACTCCAGGGTCGCCTCATGGGGAAATTTAAGTCACCGCTATAGCATGGTAGAAAGAAAATGTACAAACAAGCTGAAGAGATCTTCAGTTCACTTGCGGGATTCACCGGTATGACGAGCAATCGATCACCAGTTTGCCACTCTAGCGGGATCGGCAGAGCGAGGTCGTCGTATGGTGCGTATCCAACAATGGCTTGAATTCGTTGAATTTGAATTTGGGTCGTAAACATGAGGGTCCCCCTGTCTCATACTGCATACCCAAACCCACAGCCTTCCTACGTCTGTGGCCGGTCCATATCGATCTTCCATCCCGCAAGTGGACGGATCCCATACCCATCCCTCTCGCGTTTCAACAACCTCCCCATAGCCGCCCATGCAATCATGACGGCGTTATCTGTGCATAGCTCCAGGGGTGGATAGAACACTTGCAGAGGTTCTCCTGTACCTGCATGTGCGGCTTCTGCTGCTAGGGGCAGTCTACGCTTACGTGAGCCGGGATGCTTACACACGTTGTATGGCGCCACTGTACCGGGTTCGGAGGTAGAGGTTAGTTGCCACCCCACCGGAGGCGACTACTGCTCTCGGCTGGACGCCTCGTACTCGACACTCCTTAACAGCGCGAGCGAGCTTGTCCTCGAGTTGCATTACAGCCGCTTGCTGGAATCTGCTCTAGTTAGACGTGCACATGTGTAAGAAAGAACAGGCGAACCTAGCCGCTATGTCTGCTCGTGTTCTGTCCGATAGCTCGCCTGAGCGCTGTTTGTGGTCGATAATCCGCTTTGTGGCTGCTCTCAGACCGCAGAACGAGAATTCGAGTTGCCCTGGCATCATCGTGGGTAGCGTAATTGAGGGATCTAGAGTATCGGAGGTGCTGGCGAGGTGTTCCAGCGCGGCACCAAGTCCCCGCTTGCCCCATTCCAGACCGAGAAGAGCAGCTACGCGGTCAAAGGTCTCCCTGCCCAAACGTAGGTTAAGAGTGCAGAGGGTTCGAGTGAGAAGCAACACACCCAATAGCCTCATCCGCCGTCTGGGCGATAAGTTCAAATTTGTCCTCGCTGTGTACTAACACAAGCATCGTATGGCCTCCACTGACAAGCAGCGTCAGATGCGGAAAGGGCGGCACCTCAGGATTTGTCAAGGTGACCGTCAACGCGTGTGCTCGCTGGTTTCGTCAGCCACTGCCGAGGAGGACGTGAACAGAGCACACCATGTGGTTCACGCCTACCAAAGGTTTTTCCAGAGCGATCGCAAGTGTCTTTGCGGCGTTGCAGGCTACAGCTAAGCAGCCACCCATGCCTGGTCCTTGGGTAAAAGCGATTGCGTCGATGTCGTTCATCTGCATCTGTGCTGTGTCCAGAGCGCGTCGTACTGTGAACGGCATCTGTTCTGTATGGGATAATATGGCGAGATGCGGATGGATGCCTGCATATATCTGGTGTCTGCTTCGTGTGAGCGCAGGATGTAGCTAGATGAGAGGACTCACATGTGGTTCTGCTTGAGGACGATGTTAGAGTGGATGGTTCTGTTGGAAGATACGATGGCAGCGCATGTATCGTCTGCGGACGATTCGAGGGCAAGAACGACAAATGGCTTTGAACATGATGGAGAGGAGAAGAGTCTGCTCAAACGTCCACGGGAGACAGTAGACAGTTGTCTGTATGCGATCATTGACTGATGGTGGCGACCGTCGAAGATGTCAACGTGCACACGACCTTGAATGCGTCGACCCCGTCCATGGCCCCAACTCCTCTTCTCAACATCGTCCACTCTCCCACCAAAGGCCGTTGTATCTACCCAACCACCCCCCTCTCCTCCGGCGCAGCAGTGCTCCACGCCCTCCCCTACGCGCTAGGCGTCCTCCCCTCCCACCGCAAGCGCCTCTGTGCCTACCTCCCCTGCTCCCTCCCAACAACAAGCTACTACACCACCTCCTGCTCGGGGTGCGGGGCAGTGTTCTACTGCTCTATAGACTGCAAGAGGGGGAACGAGGAGAAGCATAGCTGGATATGCGCTGGGCTGAGGAGGCTGAAGGGGTGGGCAAAGGACAGGCATATAGCAGGTATGATGGTGCTTGTGCTGGAAGTGCTCGCGCAGGCAAAAGTGGACGGCTCTCCCTGCGCATTGGAAGCAGATGCGGACAGTGAGCTGAGGGCAGAAGCCTTCCGAGCCGTCTACAGCATGGAGGACGCTGACGTGCCCGTGCCCGTGCCCGACAAACCAACGTTCGCCCAAGTCCTGGCACTCCAGTCCCACCTCTCCTCCTGGTCTGCAGAAGACATGCGTACATGGACACAGCACACCCACTTCCTGCACTCCCTGTTCTCCGGTTGCTTGCCTGGGCTCTTACCTGCCGAGTGGGGGCTGGGGGAGGTGCTCGATCTGGTTAGCAAGTTGGAGAGTAACTCTTTCGGCCTGTTTGCGGGGGATTCTAACCCTATCCGGGCGGTGCGATCCGCTGCTGGGAAAGTAGAATTACAGCCAGTGGGAGAAGGAGGAAGAGGAAGATGGACATGGACATGGACGGGGAGGGGGCTAGGACTAGAACAGGGACAGGGAGGGCCAAAGCATGTTTTGCCAGAGGCGTATATTCTCACGCTTCGGGGTTTAACCATTCCTGCAGACCGAACTTGCGTGCAGACCCGCTCACGGCGGTTGAGCTGTTCGCCTGTCCCTCCCTACCCTTGGCCGGGCTCTCACACGCGCAGGAAGAGGAGGGAGAAGAGGCAGCAGGGGAGGCGGAGAAAATCCGAACAGTCGGCCTCGGGTACCCGCTCAGCTTCACACTCATCCGCGACGTGGAAGAGGAAGAGGAACTGACCATCTCCTACGTCTCCCTGGACTTGCCACGCGCGCGGAGGAGAGCGGTGTTGAGCGGGGAATGGTACTTTGACTGTGGGTGTGGGAGATGTTTGGAGGAACGGAGGGGGAGGGGTAGGGGTAGGGGTAGTGTTGAGAGGGTTGAGGGGGTCGGTTGAGGGGGTTGTAGAATGCACGTTGTAGGATGTAGTTTGTACGTTGTACGTTGTAGGCTGTAGCTGTAGGATGGTGTACATGCATAACCGATGATGATTATGCTCGTGCGAACTACGCTCTGGGCAGACACAACGAGGAGAGGAAAACAGAGATGGAGATGAAGAGGAAGAGAGAGAGAGAGAAAGGGAAATGGAGAGAGAGTTCGTGCATGCGGCCTTGCCCGCTACCGCTAGAAAGAGAGCTCGAAGCGATGGAAGCGCTGGAGCCGATCGACAGTCGAGGATCAACAGTTGAGGCGAAGGATGGATGGATGGATGGAAGGAGAAGAGAACAGTGGTTGATGCGATGGCGATGGGTTGCGAGACGAGTTCGAGTTCGAGTTCGAAGTTCCGAGTTCGGGAAGCGTGGACATGGTGGGATTGGGGATGCGAGGACGGCGGTCCGCAACGACAAGGTCGACAGCGAAGGGAAAGCTCGAGCCGACATGGACATAGGACGTAGAACGTTGAACTCGGTCGGGAGATGGGGAGGACCAGATCGCCTCAAAGGATCACACAACACCCGCTCCTTTCCTCTCTCTCCAACCTCCGTCCCAAACTCGGGATCTCCCCACTCCTCCTCCTCCCCCCCGTACCCCCCGCCCCACCCGCCCCTTCGCGCATGAGCATCGCCGCCCGTGTAGCAGCCTCGAAAACGTCGTCCACGCCCTCGTTCTTGAGCGACGAACACTCTTTGTACGCTCTTGCTCCGATGTCGGATGCCATCTGTTCCCCGCGCACGCGGAGGATGTACGGGTAGTTGACCCCCGAGGCGGGGTGGACAGGCGCGTCGGGTGGGCGGAGATCGGCTTTGCACCCGACGAGGATGACGGGAACTTGTGGTCCACAGATAGAGCGTACTTCTTCGATCCACTGGGGTGTGTTAGCCAGATCATATCAGAGGGTACAGGGTGGAGGACAGGGATGGAAGGGGGGACGCACTTTGACGGAAACGTTCTCGAGAGAATCGGGAGTGTCGATGGCGAAGGCGATGAGAATTACATGACTTTTGGAGTAGGATAACGGGCGAAGGCGCTGGATCCCATTAGCACAGATCTGGAATAGCACGTTTCCCAGTAGCACACGCACCTCGTACTCTTCCTGTCCTCTGTACGTACACGTCTATCAGCAACAGCAAGGCACAGAACAGAAGGAAGGGACTGACGCAGTATCCCACAAAGCGAGCTGTACAGGCTTCCCATCAAGCCGTATTTCCGCTACGTAGTTCTCAAATATCGCTAGTAGAGTGCGGGGTAAACGATGAGCATGAGTCGGCACGGGTTGGGGAGTAAAGAGGGTGAGAGAAAGGTGGAATTGGGGTGCTCCCTCATGCTGGGAGTGGGATAAGAGGAAGAAGGGGAGGGGGACGTACTAGGCTCGTACTCTTTTGGGAATTCGCCCATGGCGAATACGCATAAAAGGCTGTCTAAAGTCAGTATTTATTGCATTTGGGAAAGAGCAGGTCGGGGTCGAACTCCCCCCC